ACACTCGGGGCATGCGTCTGGTCTCTCTCCAGTGTGGATTCTGTGATGGATGATGAAGGGTGTTCCTCCTGTGTTGATTCTCTCATGTCGAATAAGGTCTGAGCCTCTACTGAACTTTTTTCCTGGTCTGTTCTGACTCTCACGGTAGTTTGTCTGTGCACAACTCCAGGAAACTTTCCCTTTGGATCTTTCTGAGAACGTCCCATATGCTTCTACTTGCTCAGCATCGTCTTGTTGAGGATTTTCCACCTCATTCACCATCCCATCACCTGCTAGGATAGGGAGAGAAACCGGACACAGGTCACTCCCTTTTCCAGAGAAAAAGGGAACCTCAGAGAGAGGAATGGAAGAAAGGGGGGAACAAACGAAAGTGAGTGATGGAGAGATCAAACAAAGAAAGAGCTGAATCTCCCCCAAACCTTTCCCCAAAGGAGAGAGACGAGGGGATCAATTCTGGGTCTAAATCTCAACCAAACACTCAGGGAGAAAGCAGAGTGGGGAGGGAGCTACTGTCAGTCAGGACAGGTAGGAAGCCGTAAGTGAAGTCTGCCATGAGGATGCCACACCTCCTGAGAACAATCCTGAACTCAGAGAGCTCACAAGGGCTTCGCAGGAATCCCAAATATTTCCCTAATTCAGGGAAAGATTTTGAGTTGGTTCAACTGATTCCTCACTTGTGCAGGTATCTCTCAGGGTCTCTCTTTCCTCAGAGTCCTGGAGGTCTGGGACCCATGGCTCCTCCCCTCGTTCCAGCCAGGAGATCACATCAGGTTTGGAAACTGGAAACCGTGCACAAGTGACAGAAAACGAGTGAGATCAACTGAATTTGTGGCATACTTGTGTCACATTCTGGGGGTGCAATCCAGAGCCCCGAAAGGTTGTGTCACCACCTGCCCTGTAATCCTGGGTTCCTCACAATGCTTTGCTGTTGTAGCTGCTAACCTGGGCCGCTGAGAAACAGCCTACCAGCGTGCAGGTCACACCCTGAGTTTGTGTAAGGCTACAGCCCTGGCCCAGCAGCCTGTCAGCAACATTCCAGTCCCACTCTGGCCTCCACCAGCCTGGGTTACGACGTGCAGGGTGGCCCAAACACACTCCCTGGCCCAAATTTCTCCCGAAACATGTGTTCTGCACTGACCAGCCCTCTCCTGGACAGTTCACATATGAGAGGTCTGTTGCCCCTCAAGGGACCAATATTCAAGAATTTGCTACTTTAACTGGAGTTAGCAAACACAACACTGGATTCGTTTTGATTACAAATAAAACAAGTGTATTTCACTACAAAGAGAGAGATTTGAAGTGAGTACA